TTCCTCTTGGCCGACTTTACTTCTTTCGAAGTCGAGGCTTCCGATTCCGACACGAGATCGACAATTGCCGGACCCTCTTTCGTCTTCTTCTTTTTACTTTTCTTCGACTTCATTTTCGGCTTATTTACTTCTTTTCTAGCGCCACTAGATCCGTTGGTGGCATTCGCGCTAGGGATGCCTCATCCGAGACGGTGCGATAGGCCCTTATCACCCTCAAGGCGGCTGTCCTCTGGGGCCGGATCAGATTTGCCGTAGGTCTTGCGGTTTTAGACACTTTGGTGGCCCACACCGGAGCCGCGTACAACAATTGGCTCTCGACCACCGAGGAGAGGAGCCTCCGCTTCCACTGACACGGGCCCTTTACGTTCGGCGGTATCCTCGCCAGGGACACTGTCAAGCGGGAGGCCCTCTCAGCTACGGTCTTGATGTGGGGCGTGAAGGTCAGCCTCTGGTCCAATATGACGCCGAGGTACCTCAGTTTCTTGGCTAGTTCGATGTGGTGTCCGCCAACCACGAGGCGAGGAGGGACAAACGCTCGCCATTTGGTAAGAAGCACCGCCTCGCTCTTGTGGTGCGCGAGCTCAAGGCCACTGCTGGATATCCACGCATCGATAGCCTCCAGGGTGGGATTGACGACGTCCTCGTGTAGTTGGCCCGTCCTAGCCACTCCGACCACAGTCACCTGGATTAAAGCTTACTATTCCGTGACTTTTGTTTAATTTGTGCCCTTTTTTACTATTTTTGGAATTTCATTCCTTATTTCGTTTAGTTCCTTTAATAATYTTTATATKTTGTAAGGCATGCTTTTTCTGGTATTAGTATAATATCTATTGGAAAATAAGGTTCAAAATCATGCATTAGGAAAAAAAAATRCTATAATTGGTATAATATGGTGTGCATTGTTGATAATATAATATGTTATTTATTATGACAAATTGTCGTGATTTTCTTAATATGTTTTTATTTATATTTTATTAGAGTTTATTAATCGCTTTTGTTTAAAAATGCAAAATTGATCATTAGAATTTGATGGATTTATGTCGTACATTCGTACCTAATTAAGTGATTTGTCGATTCCAATGTTTATCGTTTGTAATTATGTTATTGTATTATAGCCCGTCTGAAACTCTGATTTCTTTACCA